TTTTTTTTTTTTTTTTTTTGCTGCTCTGCTATGATTACGTTTGCTCCTCACACTGACTTGTTTGATGCGTTGTGTTGTTATTTACCTGTGCTTCGTTAGTTACCTTTTAAGTGTTAGTGTTCAATTAGCAGAATCTCCTAAGTACCTGTTAACATACAGTACTAGTCTGAAACTCCTGAGTGGCATGCAAATATAGCCTATATGTACTTACTAGTACTTGCCTGTGTCAGTCATCTTACCTGCCCCGTTGAAATGCCCCTTTGTTTTCCATTTGTTCTGCCCTGTTTTAAGCCCTGTTGTCTTATCGCCAACATCGCTTTCCTTGCATTTCTGCATTTGAATCCAAAAACAAAGCACTAAAACGTGATAGCACTGGTACTGGGCATTGGCTTTGAATATACAATAAATCGCTATTGTGGAAAAGTTGCACATTAATAGATTCTAGGATATAGTCTTTTGGGAATGCCAGGCTGTTGGCTTTAATCACAGGTTTTACTCTTACCACTCTCAAGAGGATCCATGGCTGAATTCAAGTCTTTTTAGAAGTTTGACGTAAACTGTCCCTTTATGCCCCTAATTTACATTATAGATCATCTGGTTATAGGTGAACTGTTGCACAGGCATAACAAGCAAAGCGTTAAACACAACTGACCATCTGTTTTCTGCCAAAAAAAATCTTTGATATCCTGAAGAAAAAAATCTGGAAAATCACCACTTTTGTTGCAGATACAAGACTTAGTTTTTCCAGCTTGTGTGACTTAACAGAACAGATAATGAACAGACTGTCTTGAGGACTAGTAGGTTTTTGCCAGACAATGTGAGATTTCTGAAAACACTGTGCTGTGATAAAGCAGTGAGCCCAGAGGACCAGACTGTTCTGTGCGTCCAGGGGGACTGTTGATTGCCTAGCAGCGGTAGCTAAGCAAAGCACTTAAAGACCTCCAGCCTCTCAGTAGAGGTTAGCAATCTATGCCGATGACTGTGGATGATCCCACCTCCAGCTAAGAGCACATAGCGCACACAAACACAACTAATGCTATCAGCTGTCGCCCACACAACAGCAAGTTGCATTCGATTTTTGAACTGAAGGAAAACTTGATTTTCAAACCAGCGATGAAGAGCTTTTTTGTTTTGGGACAAATGAACAAGATAATGATATGAACTTGCAGTTTGGTACATGGTTTAAAAGGATAGAGGACAGGGGAGACTGGAAGGAGAAACAGTGAGATGGTTAAGATGAGAAAGAGGAAGATGGAATCAGAACAAGAGCATCACCAGTACATGATTT